AAAAAAAATCGTAAAAACTCTGCATCTGCAAGTCCCAACTGTTCGAATACCCTTCAATATAACACATAACAAATAATACCTTTAATTCAATCATGTATCTTCAAAGTAAAATATCCAATTTCATTTATTTTCTAATTAACGGATCAATATGTTTTAAATATTGACAAGAATTTCTCAAAATAAATTTTTATGCAGAATTGTGAAATATTTTTTGCGCATTTTTTTCTTTTATATTAAAAAAAATACATTTTATTGAGTACCTTTCAATGACATGCGGTAGTAATTTATCTATTTATACCTACAACTATATCGGGTTGTTAAAAAATATATAATTGGCTAATTGAAACCAACTAGCAGAGAAATCCTATTTTCTTAGTTAATTCATGAATAATCGTCAAGGCAATACTGCTATTTTTCTAATAGATTTTGCGTAATAATAATTGTCCTGGCAGTTATAAAGAAAAATGTTAAAATTCTATATTAAAATTGTCCGCTTAACAGACACAGGCTTGTCACAAATGTTTTACTATAATTAAATATGTAAATTATAAAATACTAAAAGTAACAGGGTCGGAAATTATCCACCGTGTACGCTCATAAAAAGCATATCAAATCAGTTATAGATAACTGAATCTTATTATTCACACTACACATTATTGCCACATTTCATTTGAAAATCTTTATACTGGGTGGACCCTTTAACAGGAATAAATTCGCTACCGGGCAAACAAATCATTTCTCTGAAAACTCCCGAGACACGCTAACGTTTTAATGTTGCATTGCATGTGCGTGCAACCACTCTGCACATGTTTTTTGCCATGAAATGATGGAAAGAGGGAAACATGTATTTTGCCATTGTACTGATCAGGTTTTAATTTTTATGCTCCAGGGTTGCTGTTTCTGCTTATTCACATAAATATAACAAATATAACGCATAACCGTATAAAAATGGTACAATTACGGACACTTATTATATGTATTATACAAGTTTCAGTGGAAAAAAACTGTTATGCATTTGCATTTTACGCAGCCAAAATAGTTAATTGATGAAAAAAGTTGACTTAATTGCCATATACGAGTACTATAATTTGAAATAATAAATCATTATATCGACAATTCAAAAACTTCGACAAAAACTGAGAATGTTTATTTATAGATATACATAATAAATTATTACATAGGTATATCAGCCAGCAAATTGTCGCAAAAGTAGTCATAAATTTACATTTCTGTAAATGAATCCTGCAAAAAGTTACACGTTTCCAAAACAAGAAAATAATCCGACCAACGACAACCCGATCATTCTTAGTGGCTAAGTTTAGTTAGAACCTAGAACGTTTTAGTTTTTATTTAAATAATGTTTTCAGGAATAATTGTCATTTGAGTAACATAATAATACATTTTCTTCAACATGCATTGCTTCGGCTTTAAATTTTTTATCTGTTGTGGTACCAATGTACCTTGCTCTTTGAAAAACGACTAAGAAACTATTAAATTGCTGGTTTCTTGTCTTTCCTTTGTAAGAATTATCACATTCAAAATATTAATTAATTATGTGATAAACATCAGCTGATTTCACAGTTACAAAAACGATGAAATAGTTTAAATCAATGAACAATAAATTGTAGACACCATTAAAAAGCTAAATGTCTTTAACATTTAATTGCATTATAAGTTAGTCGATTAAAATCCGAGATTTGGCTTGTGCTTTTCGAAACATCCTTCTGCTAAAAGACTTTATAAACTTCCTACACGTATTAAGATATAAAACTGATATAATAATTACGATCTTCCCCATCAAGTATATGAGATACGAATTCACTTTTTCTACTTGAATTCCAACGATTTAAATATTTGTTTAATCTTGTTGATACTATTTTGTGGCTCTAATCAAGTTCTTTGTTTCAGTGACACCAATTGCAACGGTTTGTGCCAACTACCACAAGGCTATTCATCAAAGTGTGAACAAAAATATGTTCAAAAACGACTTATTGCCCTCGAAGGAAATGGAAGCGACCTGTACAGTGATACCTTTTGGTTTCCCAGTTGCTGTATATGCACCATTTCGAATAACTAGGTGTGAGGAATGATTTTACATAAAGCACTACTCCGTTTTACTCTAACTTTGCATCAAATGGAATATACTTAATTTATTATACACAGAAGTAATAGCCTGCTTTTTTCGTGTACTTAAGACCAGTTAAACAAACTTTCACCAGAAATGCATCGAGCAAATTGAAGCAATAAAAACATAAAATTGATACAATTTATCAAATGCTGATGGATTGGTTCTTGATGAAAAATTACTTTGAATTTCAACGTTCATTATCGTTACAACATAATAGATATGCCTGAATGAAGCCGGCCTTGCATTGTTGCTGTAATGCGTATCACTGCCTAAGGTCCTAGTCTCTAGAAATTAATCAATTGTCATAAAACAATTATAGCCTAATAAAATATTGCTAGATCATTTCCAAATAGGCAAAAATGATCCAGTGAAAATGATATACCTAGACTTATTTCAGTATGTATTTCAAAGAAAATATAAGAATATTTATGTTTGTCACTATAATGTTTTATATTTTTGTACCTGTAGTTTATAGGAAATAAAAAAGACAGCACTGTACATGTTGCCATGTATTTATATAATTGACACATTTAACTAAATATTAGATTGCTATGAAAGCTAAGTGCATAACTTTTTGTACATTGTTAAATATTGAGGTTTACTGATAATTATTGTGATTGTTACTAAGCATAGATAAAATAAAATAGCTTTGTAATGGCTAGGTTAAACAACGAAATATAACTTTTAAGTTTTTTTACAGCAACTAGTGGGTTACGATTGGCGACTATGAAATCCAAAAGAAAATAATAAAAATACTCTAAAACAATTCAAGCATTTTATAATTCAACATGTGGATACTCTCAAAGTGTATTATTTCCGTTAAACCTAACTTGTCTATTCATCTATATCTAATTGGAAAAAATTAAGCTCTATATTTTGCAGTCTAAAAGACGCCTTTTAAATAAATTTAATGTCATTACTCAATTTATACCAGATGTTAATATTTTCGGGTGCAACTATTTTAAGTGAAAACAACAAAATTAAAAATGATTCTCATATAAAAAACGTCCATAAATCCTCGAACTACAAAGTTTCAATGTTATTTCTTCAAGCACGCCAAATTAATTTAATGCAAGTGTATTCCTTTTCGTTCTATATTTTTTGCCCAACATTGACACAGGAATCCATTCAATCTTTCGATCCAATTAACTATAACAATAACAATTTAAATTTGCCAGCTGCGAAAATATCCATATCCAATTATGACAATTTTAAAAATTATAACACATTGAGAATCGAATCTAACACCACGGTTTATAGGAGCAAAATCTCATTAATAGTAGAGTGAGCAATTAATGTATTGCTCATCAATTTCTATACACAATGGTGATGTGCGCCTACACAAGAATAGGGAAAATATTATAGAAACGATATCTGTCTTCTTTATAGACTTTATTTAATTACATCAACATACACTAGGATTTCTTCTACAACAGAAATATAATTGTAGACTTATCACTTTCATCATAAAATACCGCTTTATATCAGCTTCAAGCATATCACCATCTTAGTAAAGGACAAAGAAACTAAATTTATGGCAAGTTAAGAGTAACTACTATTTTGTTCATAATAAACTTGGTCCCAGTTCACATCTGGAAATAGTTGATATTTATACAGATAATTTCCGATTAATGTGCCTAATTTCACCTCGGATAATTTCATTAAAATATTGAGATAAAATATATTTACTTGTAAGTTCACCATATCGCCAAATTGAAGACAAGAATCTATTTCTCTCCGAAAAACTCTATAAGCTTTGAAATAGAGACAAATAGCTGCAGACATTTTATGACTTAAATTTGAAAAACCGCTATTCGCTTCGAAAAAAATATCAATTTATTAAAACTTTTCCTCGTTAGTCTCATTCACAAAAAAAGCCTGTTAAATCAAACCGATGTAAAAAACGTAAATGAAACTTAACAATAAACAGAAAAGTAGTAAACATTAAAAGCACAACAATAATAATTTTTGATTAAAAACCGGCAACTTTTCATGATCTTTTTCAGAATATTTTTAACCAACTGAGTTCTAAAAGATTGATAACGATGAAGAAAACATGCCAGTATTCGTATAACTTCAAGAAATTCGTAATAAACTTCAAGAAACTATTGACTGCTGAATGAAGGACTTTTTTAAGAACTAATACAGTGTGTCTGTGTATAAAAAATAATAATGTGTGAAAATCACATTTTCTTGATCCTCAGGTGGAAAGTACAGTTTCGCCACTGTTTTCGATAGCGAAATAATCACTTCTACTTTTACAATGACATGACAATAACAATGACAATTTACCTTTCCGCCCATTATTCATAGTATATTACGGTACAAGGTGCAAAAAACTGCATGTAAACTTCAAGCAGAAGCGGAACTTCTGCTTTTATTGATCCTCGGTGGAAACTAGCCCGGAAAAGTATAAGGTTTTGAAAATGTTGTCAAAACAGTCAGTGACAAACAGACAAGCAGTCAGCGTGCGTGGCGAAAGTTATTAGTTTCCACACGGGATGAAGAAAATTTAATTTAATAATAGGCGTAAAAGTCAATTGTCATTGTCATGTCATTGTAATGAGTAAAAGATATTTTTTCGCTATCGAAAACAGTGGCGAAACTGTGTACTGTCCACTTGGGCATCAAAAAAATTAAATTTTTGTCATCCCGTGTCACATAAGTGACAACAACAGAGAATTTGAAAATACTATAGACTGATATAAGCAGAGCAACGGTGCAAAACATTATATTAAGCCATTGTGGTTTTACAAATATTTATGGGTCGATCTTAAAAGGTTTTATTACTTGAAACTGTCCAATTAATGACATTTTCAGAACGATTTTTTTACACCAGCAAATATTTTTATTATACCCGGAATCGAATTTTGATAGTGAACGCATTTACTATTTTGATTTGAACACGTAAACTTTTAAAATTCTTTCATGCGAGTAGGAAATCTGACAGATTTTGTATAGAGATTGTCAGATTGTTTTATGTAACATAGAAATGTTTATTTGGCCTTAAATAAATAATTTAATTTCGAGGAAAAATGTATCATTAAAAAAGTTTTGGATCGTTATTGCTACCTAAATACTAAACAAGGTTCACAACTTACTCAAAATCAAGTAAGAATTCGAAACTGTAGTAGTACACAGAGCGTTTATCGGAAATGACAAAGTTCAATTAGTTTCACAAGTTCGAGATTTTAACAAAGTATTGTCTTGAGATGCATTCGGGTATGCATCAGATCACTACAATCCATATTTTAAATATATTTTTGAAAAATGTTAAATTTTCTATGTAGATAAATCGGTTTGCACACCATCTGATTTAAGATTAATTTTTCAATAAATGAAACCTTTTTTCTTGACAATAACTATGTCTTTAGGTATACTAAAGTATACTAAAAATATACTTTGTCAAACTTAATATATATTTCGAACATATACAGATCAACTTGATGATCTACTGAAGCTGAATCACTTAATATTTAATCAAAACGTGTTTCAATTACGAAACCAATAATTATTCTACCCTCCTTCAATTGACAGGCTGAACCTGTAGGATCCACACATGAATGTACCAAACCAATTATGATCTAAACTTTATATTAATACACAGTAACAATTCTCTGACAAAACTACATGTTAAAATCACAAGGCTAACATCAGATTAATAATACCCTTTATAAATATTCTACAACATTGATAAATACATTCTGATTTCCTTAAGGGGTTGGTAGGAAGTTTACAACAAAGCTAAAAATATGTTGCTGATGTTACGTGAGTTATTATACAGTTTTATGATATAATGTTATGTGGGAATAAAAAATATATACATACCTAAAAAAAATATGCAGAATTGTGAAATATTTCCCAAAGAGTTACAGTACGCAGACTGCTATTTTAAACGCACATTATTGACAATCATTCATATCATTTAGGAATAACCATCAAAGTCAAAGGCATTGACATTTTAACATATTCTGCAAAATATTCAAACATGCAGAAAACATTTATTTCTTTCCCAATTTTAATTCAAATTTATCCCCATATTGGCGCCATTCTATAATTACAAAATATATTTCTTACCCCAAAATATTCATTCCGCATATAAAAAAATTAAGTAGAACTTCACTACTGGATGTTTTAATATTGTTGCCGACGTGTGATATCATAAAAGATATCGCTAAATGGGACAAGATATCCTGATTCTATATCTTGGAAAACAAGCATGTTTGGAGTCCTGTTCATTTATAATATCTATAATAAATCTGAACATTCTTGTTCATTTATTCTCGTTCATATATTTTTTTAATTTATCACTCTCAATTAAGTAAAACATTTTCCCAATAAATTGCCATAGTTATTTGGGATACAATTTGATCAGTTTAAACATATGTGTGATATTTTGACGCAAATTTCCGCAATGTTTTGGCCCTTTTTTCATTATAAGTTTTTTATAACTCATTTACAAAGTGCACGCCTATCATAGAAGATCAGTTTGAAAAATAAAAGATACAATTCTTAACTAAAGTTTTTCTATCTTTATGAATAAACTTGAAAACAAGGCCTGTGTTAACGAATTAAATGTATCTGATGATAATTGACCAAATACTAAACAAAGCGCATAAAGTGCAATCCGCAGTACGTGTAAAATTGACCGAAGATCAATCGATCGCAACTTAATGCAATAAAAAATAGAAAATTTATCAGATCTCCAATTATAACCGTAAGCTTATGATAATAATCGAACTAATAAACTCTAACCTACATGGGTAATAAAGGGTAAACGTATGGTAACCATATAATAAAGAAGACTTAGATAGACCCATCCTTTCATAAAAAAATAATATTCCGCCAACATGTTTGTATTTCCACCACCGACGCACAATGTCACATTTTGGTTTATTTTGTTTTAAAATCAAACAACTTTTGATCTAATTAATGAATCCTGATTTTTTTAGAAATGAAGCCAATGTAAACAGGAATCTTCCAGGAAATGGAGCCATTTAAAGACATAGATCAGGAAAAATTGGCAAAGTTGATAAATGTTGCAAATATCTAATAAGACATACTTTATCTTAATGAATATTATATATTCATAGTTTGTAAACCTAATACATTTGCAATATACTAGATTT